AATTGATGGCAAGATAGGGGGACTCAAAGTAAAATTACCTAATTAACAGAGGGGATCCTTAAGTTTTATTCAAAATTTTCATAATTTTCGATGTCTCTCAAAATGCTGGAAATCGCATTTCCAAGAGTTATTTTTTTCAAATTTTGAAAAAGTTTTTCAAAATTTTCTGGGGGAAGGACCAGACTCCCTTAATACTTCCGCCTTTGGCGTTCGTTAGACCCCCAGATCCAAAATATATGTCGCGGTCCCTGACATGTGCATAAAATTAAGTCCACGCTACGCGTTTTACTAATGGAAATTTAAATTCAAAGACTCGTTGATGTGTGTTGAAATTGACCAAGATATGAATTTTTTTTCAACTATTGATTTTTTCAATTTCGTCACATAAATTGAGGATGTATAGTTTTCACATAAAGATGTAGAAGCTGAAAAACATTTTGATGATTTATTAGACACAAAAAGCACAAGTAATATCAAAGTCGTTTTTGACCATAAAAACGTTACATAAGCCTTTTTTGGACCTTGAAAACCTTTGCCAGGAACAAAATTATTTGAAAGAAGCCAGGGCACCACATTTGCTTGTTAGCTCCTCCTGAAAGTTTTTGTCTTTACGCTTAGATCCAGATGAGTAAGCCACCTCCTGCATCTGGGTTCGTCTTTAGTGAATTTTGGGTTGGTTAAGGTTAATAGTTGTTTTTTTTTTGGCGGGGGGGTTTCGACGTTATTTCTAATATAGAAGGGGGGGGGGTAAGAGCTATTTTCTTGTGATTCGGAGGGGGGGGGTTCTAACTAATTTTCTGCTTAAGAAATCTGGTTTTACGGTCCCTCCTCCTGGTAATTATTGCACAGTCCCTAAAAATATCATCACCATACTTATTTAAAAGACGTTTATCAATTTATAAAGTCATTCAAAGCTGTAATTTTGTCGAAATCTTTGTTTTTATAAAAATCTCACTCAATCGAGATCTGCTGGCATAATCTTGATTCAAAATGTCCACACTTCTCCATAGAATAGAATTCCATAGAATCCTTGCTTTTCCCAATATTTTTGTGGTATTTCAAAAAAAATAGAGGACATTACATGGGCGCGCGGAGATACGGATTTTATCTTMGTGTGCTGAAATCCGTATCTACGCGCGTCCATGTAATACCCTCTATATCTTTTTCTTGTTGTCGAAATGTCAAAGCGAGGAGTCATCCTGTTATTCCTAAAAACTGCTGAGCCTGAAAACGCTTGAGGAAAGTAAAATGCTTTTCATTTTTGGCTAATTGATTTCCTGGATGTGCAGACGCGTGCAGACGCGTCGTTGTTTATGACAAAATTGGCGGGAAATTTATGTGCTTTGATTTTGAGCTCCTGTCGGTTTTCTTTGGCTGTTGTCTAATTGTTCTAACATTATCATTAATAAAGATAAATGCTTGTTTCACAATAAATATTTTGGCGCTTTCTTCCTTTTAGCGCAGAGTATGGGTTTCCTGTGGTGGCACACGGACGGAAGGGAAGGAGTTCGCTAGGAAACGTGCGTACGCGCGGGAACTCGTCGGTCCATGAAAAATCGACTCGATTGATATACCATTTTTTTCAGCTATGGTGCTCCGTAGACTGATTCCATAAGTCGTAGCATTCGCTCCTCGATTTATCGGTTTGTCGCTCAAACTAGCGACTTATGTACTTTATCAGAAACGACTGTACAAACGAAAACGAGGCCGTCGTACATATTTAATTAGCTGGAAGTGCATTCACACTAGTAGCCGTTAGAATAATTCTATATAAAGATCGACTGTATTAAGACTATTTTAATAGTCTTAAAACGTTTTAAAAGGAGTTTATAATGATTGTTAGGATGTATTTGTGGCAAGATGAAATGCTAATGAATGAAAGTCAAGTCCAGTTAGAAAATCAATTATAGCACTTGAACTGTTTGATTTTGCAACATTAATAATTATTCGATTGATCATGATCATCTCGCGGCACTTGTGTAAAGTACAGATATTCACAAGCCGTTTCATCAGAGTTAAAACTGGGCGATTCCACATGAGACATTGAAAAAAGCTAGTTTCGAAATTCAGTGGATCTTTTTAATTCCTTTTGCATTAGAAACCTCAAGACCTGAATTGTTTAAATTTGAAACTTTATTGYAGTTAATTGGCTTACCCGTTCTATGATCAGACATGAAAGTTAACCTTTTGTTATCTTGGAAAAGTTCAACATTTTTGAATTGCCTTTTCTAAGGACAGAACATAAAGGCCAAAAAGAATAAATTTCGCAATTTGACATTAATAGGTAGCCATCACCAACACTTATCACATGGTCATGACCAATTTGCAAAATCTTAATTTTCTGCTACAGGAGGGATGATTGAATTTTCGTTGTGGACATTACGTAATGTCCACAACGTTAACATTTAAACCTTCAATTCAATCTCATGAATAATTGGTTCGACACACTAAAGAGCTATTTAGGATCTTATGTTAGATTGACGGTATAACTATTTTAGTATAAACGTTTCATTTCTATACCCTTAATTTTTTGAGTAATTTCAGCTGTAAACTGTTGTGGACATTACATATACGTTGTGGACATTACATACCTTATTCCACTTAAATACAGCAATATGCAGAAATTATTATCTTTTTGACTCATATTTCAAGTATGTATAAAATACAGTCGATTAACCATCTTCAGGAAGAGTCTGGTTTGGGATGTTTAACTAGGAAACGAAATATTGCGAGAAACGTATCTCTTTCCCCCATCGCCTCTTAGCAATCTTGCCCTGATTACCCATGRTTCATMGTMAAGCGTGAACTCGTYTATTGTTCYCCATTGCATGTCAAGATTATTCCAAATATCTTCTCGATGTCTTAATGCATTAATTAGGAAAAGAACACGAACAAGCTTGTGTTTGCTTGTTTGTTTGTCACAGGGTTCCCGTGCCCCAACCCCCCTATCCCCCCCCCCTCCCTGCCCCCCTTCCCTTTCCAAGCCAAAAAAATCTAAAAAATCTCTGAGAAATAGAGTTCGAGCAACGAATGCTTTTTTTCTCCTCTATCGATCACGATTCTTTTGCGCGAAAGCCATAGATTGATATGACATTATATTGACGTCATATGGATTTATAGTGACAATTTGGTATCCACAATGCCCCTGATCACCGGGAAAAAAAATCACGCGCTTTAAAGGTTGTAAATTTGATGTAAGTGTCCAAAATTCTGTAAATTTAATGAAAATCATTTACATCAGATTTACAGAATTTTGGACACTTACATCATATTTACATAAAATTTACAACATTTAAAGCGAGCGATTTTTTCCAGTTGATACACCTACTTGCGAAAACGTTGTCATAGAAAATAGGACATTTGTATTTAGTAAAAAAGGAATAAATTAAAAAAGACAAAAGAAAATCACTGAGGCTGAACGCTTTCTTTTGTCTTATTTCAATTTATTCCTTTTTACTAAATTCAAATGTTCTATTTTCTATGACAACGTTTCTGCAAGTAGGTGTATGTCTGATATTGAAGATGTGAAGTTATGTAAGTGAGCGAACAAAATAATTAGACAGTTGTTGAATGCAGACCAGTTTACCTGTTAGTATAATGCCAAAAGCTTTGAAGAACCGGAATGTCCACAACGGTTTTTAGGTAATGTCCACAACGCAATGTTTTGAGGATAAAAAATATACTGAAATATCTTTGAAATATTTTTTATTGTAGTAGTAAGCTTTTATCACCAGCAAGTGTAGCCATAATATTGACTGCTGTTAAACATCTCTCAAATCACAGGAAAATGCAATAAAAGAGAAGCAATTGAAAATGTGGTAGTTTCATATGTAACGTCCACAACACAGTTTAAGAGCTTATTTTTCAGTTGACAAAAAGGAAAAAAGAAAACGTTTTGTACCAAATTATAGAAACTCCATTTAAGTGTCCAACATATAACTTTTAGCTTCTAGATTGAATTAGCAAAGAATTTAGAGGAAGTTAAAGAATCAGAATTGGCTTCTGAATGTAATGTCCACAGCGTGGAATCGCCCAACTATAAAAGTGTCAGTGCCAGTGGAATGGAAATGCATTCATTCTTTTTTCGTCGAAGCGTATTAAAAAATCATGCCCTTTTCCAAGAAGCCTTGCCTGATCGCTTCCTATTTACTTTGTCCTCGAGACTACTTTAAGGTTATGTGTTGGAATTTAAGAAAAACATTGTCTCTCSGCATCCCGTAGGAAGACACACAAACATATTCTTTCCTTCTATAGCTTCTAAGAGCTCGTTTTCTTCTAACACATTATTATTCGATATCTCCATCACGGTATAAAAGCAAGATGGCGTCTCAGAATTTTTCTCAAACCGGAAATCGTTTTTCTCAATCGATCACATATCAGTAAGCTCCGAATAAGATCATCTCTGATTGGCCAAAATCAATATTTTTTAGAACAATTACTGCAACTGGCCCATTCCAATTTTTTGGAATGCGGATCATTTCTGATAATAAAGTTCATAAGTCGGACCTGTGAGCGAAAAAAAAAAAAAAAAACAACCGGCAGAGAGGGAAGTGATACCGACTTATGGAATCAGTCTATGGTGCTCCGCTAAGGCAAATAATTTAATATTTAAAATTTAATTTTGAGAAATATATACACAAACTTTCTGTACTCATACATTATATTTAATATATATCTGAGAAAAAGTTTTATACTGCATCAATTTGATTTGATGGAAGCATTTACGACTTATATAACAACTTACCTGCTTTGCGCTCATTAGCTGCTTGTCGATTAGGAAGCATTCTACCGTAAGCCCATTCTTTTTATTGTAGGCGGTTGTGGACAAACCAAAAAATTTCATACAATCCGTAGCAAAATAAGCTAAAGGCTGGAACGATTTCCCATAGTCCACAGACTTAGCTAAGTAAGCGGCTGCCGGTAATTCGAAAAAAAACTTCACTGCAGCCACATAGATCATGAATGTAGAGTTGAAGTCCATTTGTAAATAAACAGGCCGCTCTACTGCATTCTTCGATTTCCAGAATGTAACTGGCGTTAAGGCATCGTTCACATAAGATGGAGGATGTCTCAAGTTTGGTTGTTCTGCATTACAAATTGTATTACAACTTTGATCAGTTGGAGTGCAGTAGTTCTCTGGGCCATCTACACCACAAGTAGAGTTCGCTTTCACTTCGAATTTGCTTTTTATCTCCTTGGGCCAAGGAAAACATGGTCCGGCTTTGCAATCACCCGAAACGTGAAGARAAATACTTAAAAGCACAAAACATATGAACAGTTTTGAATTTGAAGGTGCCATTATACAATTTCTAACTCCAACGCTCTAGCCAACGCTCGCTGACAAGAACGTGATCCAAACGGTGTCGCAGAGCTGTTTTGGAAGCCACATCAAACATACCTAAATTGTAGCCTTTTAAACTTGCAGTCAATCATAACGCTTCTCAAGTGACAATACTCAGGTTACAAGATTTAAATTATTCATCGAAATCTATCAAACTTATTCATCATAGCACTACCGTTATACTCGTTTAAAACCACGAAAGGGAGTTAGAGTGCACACAATATGTCTGTGAAATAAGAACTAACTACTTGCTGAAAAATAGTTCTTAGATAGGAACTATTTCGATACTGGAGGCACAAACAAAGGGAACAATACTTCATTATAACATTAATCATTGAAGTTATAGTTTGTTTAAAATAGTTACCATTAAGTAAGAACTATGAAGACACTTTTAAAAAACTTTAATGATATTTCACAGACATATTGCTTGCTCTTTAATACGATAAATGAATTTTAATAGGGAAAACAACTTTATTATAGAATTAATGACTTTTGATAAAATTCGTTTTTCTCCTGACATCTCCTAATACCCTGTGACGTCCACGAAGCGTCGTTCGCTGCTAAGAAACGGCTGACCACATCATCAAAAATCCAGCTTTTTGGCATTTCTTTACATTGGCAAAATTCCTTACGGTGGCGTGTTTTGTATTCTAGTTTGTAGCTGTAGCCGTTGATCGTGTCTTAAAGTACACGCGAGTGACCAAGAATGACATCGAGCGGGCACAAGTGAAAAAAATAAATAATCATGCATTAACCAATACAAAAATAATTGATTAGAATAATAAGAAAACTTTTACAGTGTATTTGATGAGAACTATTAAAGGAAAAAATGATTTACCACTAATTCATTATAAAGCAAAGAGAAAAAAGAAAAAAAGATAAAGATTATATAATATAAAAAAACACAAAATGCTCAAATGTTTCCGTTTCCGTTTCTTTGTTTTTGTTTTTGTTTTCCGAGCCAATTATTAACTTTTTGCATGACGCATGTTTTTATTGGAAGCTTTTGGCAAAAATTAAAACTAAGATCTACATTTCTGTAAAGTGTTCTAGATGTAAACATAAATAAGTTAATTGACCTTAAGGCCGTCGATTGATGTAACGCAATCTTATTTTTTTGCAAAGAAACAAGCAAATAATTTGGCAGTAACTAAAAGAATACTGTGAGTAAGTTATTGATTTGCATATCAAAGAATTGCCCCACAAAAGTTGTCCTTCGTTTAGCAGCCATATATGGTAACCTTACCTTATTAGTCGGACTAGCCGAAGGCTAGGTCGACTTGAGTTTTACCTTTTAGCCAATCTGTCTATCTATGTGTCATGTCGCGTTTGGACCACCGGAAGTTAAGAATTGAATAATTACCTATTGGGCTGGCTGTATTATTTCCTTACCGGAAGCTCAATCGATCTCAATCCTATAGATGAACGAATATCGTTAGTAAATGTTACATGCTACTTGTATTTTATATGACAAAAAAAGTATTCGTTTACAAATGTGGTATCTGTGATCTCATCGGAATGCATCAGTCTAGGCATCATAAGTACGCGCATGTGCAGATCGCTTGGTGCTTCGAGYAATATGCTTACGARRCTAAATCAATGGCCTTTCTAGCGTTAGGCGGTCTTGTGTCGGCAAAGATTTCAAATTAGAACAAGAAGAAACATTTTTTTCAATAACAAAAAGGCGAGTTTAATGATTTTATAGTATCATTTACTTTGTAAAGTATTTTCTTGGCCTGAGAGGTCAACGTTATCACTTAGCGTCCCTTGTCCACATACCATGTTTGATTTTATCAGTCAAAGSAAGGACTCATKHAAAACGTTCRTWGATGTATTAATTACATGACATTTCAGGTCAAGTTTATTTTAGTCTCAAGAGAGTTTGGATATTTTGAACGAGATGTTCTTATTAGACCGTGCGTTCGGCTTTTTTGGAGAAAAATTAAGAAATATATATTTTAATCTAATTTTTATATTTTATGTAATATCCTCCTGTCTTTCTCAAGGTTCATTTACATTCATAATATCATATGATTAGACAAAATATAACATCATAATCTTTTCACTCGTGTCTATCAATTTTCAAAAATAGCTAGTCCGACTTCACGCGAATGGTTTTTGTCGATTTTCAYGACTTTTAAAGGTTGGAATCGTCTGAAACTTGCAGATATTATAGCGAAAACACTTCTCAACGATGGGCCATTTTGTTTGTTTCCATATATGGCATGGATTCGCTAAAGGAAGCCCAAAACTAAAAAGAACAGGGAACCCGCACGAATGACATACAATTCTTTGATATGTCGAAAAAATGGCAGAAAATACAACTTTTAATTTTATAGGCAAACATCTAATCCGAAGTTTTTCTTCTTAAGACAACGTCCTCAGGAATTAAAATGCCCTTCCCAGAAATTCGATACAGTCAGCGGTTCGATGTAAACACGCTGGCCCATGTATAAGTGCGGCAAGGGCACGGGAATACGCATAAAAATCTACTTATATATCTAAGTTCATGCTCTCTGAACAGTAATTTCACTTTGTATTTCAAAAGCGACGCCTTTCTTTCATCTGACATATTTTCTTTTTTTTTTTTSTTTCGTTATAACCACCAAAATCTTTCACACAGGAAACCCGAAATGCTTATTTTGCTAGAAAATGCCTATTTTGCTACATGAAGAGACATGGGAGGTTACTAAGGTATAAACAGAGACAAATAGCGTGCTAGATCATGTAGAAGTACAAATCTCTTGTTTCTGGTCAAAAAAATCGAATAGGACTTTCACATTCCACAATCCGAGAGGACAAAGAATGGCAGTTCTTTGAAGGAAAATGGAACCGTTTTAGGCAAAGTATTAGTGTTTTTAGGGTGTTCTTACAAGGAGCGTATGGCGGCTGACGGCTTTTTTGGTCAGTATTTTCAATTAATTTTGGAACCGGTTTAGGACTTCAAAACTGCTTATTTTATATCGGCATATCAAAGACAATGCACCAATCTTAAAAAAAATTAGATAAGATAAGATAATACAGATCACAATTAAGATACAGACAATTTTAAAAATCTTTAAAATACGATCCATTTGCGGAGAAAGTCAATCAATAASAAAAGAAATATTTGAATTAGACATCCTAAATTCTACTGTCTATATACACTGCTACAAAGGTCCTCTATGTTAAGTCTGTGAAAGTGAAAGTATATCCAGTCATGCATATACGTTAGTATTCAAGGGGATATTACGGTAATCTACCACTGCTACTGGTTAGAAAATCACTGGCATATCTTCACCGTTAGAACGTAACAGGTGGGAGGGGTGTTTTTAGTGAAAATTCAAAGTCTAAGAGATTCTTTAGTGAACGACAGTAAATCGTTGAAAAAGAGGTAATATTTCTCCATTTTCAACTTCTAWATGCGTGATTGACTTCTGCTTTAATTCAAATTGTACAACTGGTCAAACCTAAGCTTAAATATTGCAGGAAAGGTTTACGTTTAGATCAGTAAACCCCGTTGAACTCTTCCTAGAACCGCGCAACCATTTTCCAGCTGACCATAAGAATTGTCAGTGTGGTTTAGTCGAGATTCTCACCAACAGCACCTGTTGATGTAAAGAACATTTGTCCCTTAAAGCCGAATTAGACGACTCAACCTACAAACACCGTATGTAACAGCGCATAAGTCATCCTTATAGCTTACACCATGGTTGCAACTGTGGCAGGGATATGACTTGTAGGCCTAGTTTATTTTTAAAAGGTTTCTCATTTTGATCAGTKTTAAAAATAAGCAGTCACCGCCATGGTAAATAACAACCATAAACGGAAACTGTCTGCAAGTCTTCCACCAAGCTAATAGCAACAAGGAAAGATAACTACAAGGGCGAACGTACGTTGACCTTACAGAAGACGAGTTCAAAACACGCCACGTTAAAAAGTTCTACTGAACTGAGGAAGTACATTGTTTACTTAAGGTTTTCATATCGCGCGAGTGGCAAAAAACTTGCAACTGACAAAATCTATTGTAATTCTAACAATACTAGATGTTATCTTTACTTAACTAAAAAACTCCTGTATTAAATTCTGAAAACCGGAGAGTTGCTCAAAATTAAAACAAGAAAAGAGCGAAAATGGCAATGAGGGAMGATGTTTGGTGGAAGTGTAAAACATGAGGTAAAAGACATAAAAATTCTACCTGTTACGTTCAACCGGTGAAGATATGCCAGTGATTTTCTAACCAGTCGCAGGCCGGGGTAGATTACCGTAATATCCCCTTGAATAAATAATGTATGTGCATGACTGAACGCCTTGGCTTTRGAAAAACCTACTCTCTAGTTGCTTAATATATTCGTAGCGTGTCACGTGTTTCCTGAGAAGTTTTCCACTTCAATAAGTATTTGGCCAAAAAGCACAGAATCTGACACCGTTGAGTTTTCAGTTTCCAATTAAAAGTTTTTAATTCAATTAAAGGTCTAGTTAATTTTTAGACGCTGCCCCCATCCCTCTTTAAGCTCATGAAATTAGATTTTGACCCCCCTCTAGATTCAACACCATCAACACCATCATTTTTTTTGCTTTTTCAAAAGATAACAGTGCAAGTTGCTTGACTGTTAAGATCCTACATTATGTTTACAATAAGTCCCAGCACTTTGCTCCTACTATCTGACTATCATAAAATCAAAATCTTGACGTGTTCTTTTAAGCCTGACAGTGATATTAATATAGGTTCATTTCAACGCGTGRTGACAAAAAAATAAAAAATAWRWWAAWKRAWWAAWWAAWWARRWWAAAWWAAAWWAAWCSKYSGKTYCMA